AGGAAGGAAGGAAGGAAGGAAGGAAGGAAGGAAGGAAGGAAGGAAGGAAGGAAGGAAGGAAGGAAGGAAGGAAGGAAGGAAGGAAGGAAGGAAGGGGATTCAGCACCTGGGTTATCACTCCCTTCATTTGTTGTTCTGGTTTAAGAGGTTCCTACCCATCTCTCCTTCTAGCTGTGTTTCTAGGGTGAGAAACAAGTCTGTGTGCTCCTAAAGCATTTCCTAAATCCATTTGCCTGGAGAAAAGGCCTTAAACCATCAAGCAGGAAACCTGGCTTTAATTAATGGATTTTCGTGCTATTTTACATTTGTACCTATATATTAATAGTGATTGATTTCCTTCTGCTGCAAAAATGGTTCCAGGGTGGTGATTTATACCCGGGTCTGTAGTGTTTTGACTACATCTAGTACCTTTAAAGTAATTCTGAGGATTTATGTTACACGTGTATGCGGCAGTGTAGTGTAGCAGGCATTTATTTATTCAGTCTTAAATTTTCTGATTGTTTTGTAGAAAATAATCGAGTCCTTTTATTTACTGAATAATTTACTACTCAAAATTTGTTTCAAGCCTCTTAGATAGAAAGTGGAAATCAGTTAAATGTCCATATGACAGCATTTAAAAGCTGTCCTTTAAAATAATTTAATAGCATTGTAGTAACTGAGGTTGCTACAGAGCAGGCGTCCGATGTGCAGGATTTCTGTGATGCCTTGCAATGCACAGTTGCAAAGACACTTCCCAGCTTCAGCACCGTAGAAATTTCTCCTAGATTTTCACCTCCACTTTGTGACGAGCTTGTTGCTGCAAAATTGTGTGAAACATGTAAGAAATGTAGGTGCTGTAATGTAGATGCTAGAGCAAATTAATATTTGACAGTTAGAAATGAGTTTATTTTCTTCTAAACATGAATAGAAATAATATTTTTTATTCTTCCTGTAGCCGATTGAGTCCAACTACATTATTGACTGCTGTGTCTTGCACTGTGGCTGGGCTCCTGACGAGAGAGAAGTGCCTGGAGCAAAGCTTTAAAACCAGGGAGCTGTGGTAGAGAACATTCAATTGAGAACATAGAAAACAGTGCAAGCTCTGAGGAGAGGAGCCTACTGGGTGAGTTTGCTGTATTCTGGGATCCACATGACAGAATTTGGTGTAAAACGCCAGAAGAAATGGAATTTTAACAAAGGTTGCAGATGGGGATTTTTTTGTTATGCTGCTCTTTAGCTTGACCCGATCGATGCCCATTCCTGGGCAGAAGGGAGGGACTGAGCGGCTGGCGACTCCTCAGGAGGGCACGATGGAAAGGGCAACCTCGGCAGGAATCTTCCTCCCAAGGAGCAAGCTGGGCCTGGGAGCCCAGGCTGGGCTTAAGGCGGTTGGTCCTGCGCTGAGGGAGGCAGATGCCACCCCTTCCACCCAGCTACCTGAGCAGGGGCAGGCTGGGGGACAGCGGCGGCTGCGGCCACAGCCCGTTTGCTCTTGGCTTGCTCTTGGCTTGCTCTTGGTTTGCTCTTCCAAACCTGGGAGCTGCCTGCTGGAGCACATCTGAATGCCAAGAGGACTGAAATTTCCAATCAATAGTTTTAATAAGAAAAGGCTATTGCGCTGTTTTTTGGGCCATATTTCATTAGATTTCTTGGTTTTATTGCTCTCTTTCTGCTCTGGTGTTTGCAGCTTCTCTGACTTTACTCTCATCCTTTCAGATTAATTATTTATTCTCAGAAGGATCTGTAGGTTTTACCTTCAAAAATAGATACCCACCAAATGCAGTGTCTTCCTCTTTGCAAATCATAGAACTTGCAATAAAGGCTTAAACCCAAACTTGAAGGCAAAGGAGTCAGTTAACAACAAATTAGCAAGCCTAATGTGTAAAAACAAAAAACAATTAAATCTTTTTTTCAGGCCTGTTAGGAGATAGTGCTGTGGTTGGAATTAGCAGGGAGAAGGGTTTGCTCCAAGAATTTGCCATGCATTGCCTGTTTCTGTCCACACGTGGCTGGAAGTCACCTTTGGCAAAGCCTGTTCCTCAGATCCACTCACATTCACATGAAAATGATTGCTTCAATTAACCAGGGACCTTGGAGAACCCATGGACCGAGAGCAGTCTCTTGGGTAGATGCTATCCGCTGATTTTGCACATCATCTACGGTTTGTTTTATCCATAAAATATAGATAAGCTTAGTGAAACTGAATTAGTTCTGTTAAGCAGTATTTAAAAGCCTTTTGAGTTTGTGCCTTGGTGAGGGTTCAGCTACGTTTCACAGGGGACCAGTGAGTGTCCTTCTGCTCGTGGGGTCCTGGCTGTGGCCCTTCCAGTGCAGAAGGTCCTGGTCCTGCTTTCTCACACACAGCTGGTCCTTCACATCCTCCTCTGAGCAGCCCTTTTTGTGGCCACCGACTGCGTTTGATCACAGCGACATGCAGCTTGGTTTTATTCCACAAAGTCTGTATGGTTTAGGAACTGATTTAAGCTAACTAGGCACCACAAATGACCTACAAATTACTTTTCTGATACCTCTTCTTTGCGTAGTTTATATTTAATTGAAGAGTTACCAGGTCTTAATACAGAACATTAGGTTTGGGGGGTTGTTTTTAACAGAACTTTGTGCTCCCTTCTTCCTTCTCTTGAGAGGTGGGGAAAAAATTTCTTAAACCATCTATAGAGTCATGGAAAAATGGGAATATAACTAAAGAAGGTGCCATTTCTGTCTACGGTGGTAAAAGCTGTGAGGCTCAAGTTACAAGACATCTTTAAGAGGGA